CCTGGAGATGGCCATTTCCTTCCTTTTATTACAAAGAAAAGTAGATGATTAACTTAGACTGGACCTCTCTTTTTCAGATAGCTATGGTTCTGTAGGATACAGCATGTCCAAAAACACTATCCAGTTGATGAAAATTAAAGAGAATTGAATTTCATTGGCCAAATCACAGTATCCACAGTTAAAAGCAGCATGCCCATAATTTCCTCTTACTCCACACCTGGATCCTGACAAGTAGGCCAATGCTGTGGCTGGCCACCTGCACCCCGAGCTCTACCCATGCATTCAGAAGGAACCTCTGCCTCGCTGCCACTCCGGCAGCAGATGTCCTTTTCAACTGTGTTCATACTAAGTCACATAGCTTGGCCCAGAACAAACACAGGTCAAGAGAACTCTTCTGTTTGGGAACGCATTTGAGCTTGTGCTTACATCCCACCCAACCTAAGACAGCTGATGCACTTCAAAATCCTCTGTGAATGAGGATACACCACAGTAGAGCCAGTACCAGACTAGGACAGAAAATGCTGTGCTCAACCCCTGTGAAGAAGACTCCAAGCCAGCTTCTGCTGCACTGAGATCAAGGAGCATAGGAGCAGATCCCACAGGTATCAAAAACTCCTCACAGAACTAACTTGACCCCAATGAAGGAGCCGATAACCAACCCCGCAGTGCTGGGGGGCTCTCCTGCATTACGCAGGACAAACATGCGCAACCCTCTCGCCCACACAGCCACCAAATGAGACTGGACCTGAAGCTCAGTGAGCAAAGGCAACACAGAAGAAGGTGCATTGGGCTGCAGAAAGAGGATCGCATGCCATTTGCACTCTCCTCACACGCATTTTCTGAGGAGCTCTGTTTGGAAACATCATCATTGCACCTCAAGTCTCTCCTTCTGCCCTTTCCTGAATATGATCCTCACAGAGCAGAAGACAAAAGAACAAAATCACATTCCAATAAAAGTTAATGCTGAAAAATAATTAATTAAGATCCCTTCCTGCTTAGTTTGGAAAGTAAAAATAAATGCTGACATTGTTTGAGTGTAAAGGAGTCCTGGATTGGCATTTCTGGTACAGAAAGAAAAAAAATAGAAAGTTCATTTTTCCTTACCAAAACTATGCAGGTAACAAAAGCAATTATGCAAAGCAACAGTAAATACACAGAAAAATACACACTCATTTCCATGCTTGATTTTCATTCTCCTCTTCCCCTCAAAAGAAATATTTTGTGATTTGAAAAGATCAATTCAAGATCACTGTAAAGCTGTAATCTCCTAGAGACTAACCCAAAGCAAATGGATTTTTCAGTATAGTCTCCAAGTCTGCCCAGACAGCCAACATCTCAGTCTTCCCCTGCAATACAGCCCTCACCCAGCAAAGCACTTAAGCCTGGACTTTACTTTTAAAGACATTAGTTGTTCCTTTGATTCACATGAGACAATGCAGATGTGAGAAGTTATTAAGATACTTAAGCACTTTGTTGGAACAGGGCTTCAAAGGATCCCATAAGAGTCAAAAACATGCATCTAGTGTCGAGTGAATAGGACAGATAGGACTCCCCTGTGAGGACCACTGGGGTGGTACAGGTCAGTATATACCACACTGCTTTCTAGAAACAGATGTTTAATGAAACATTAATTTCTGTTGACAACATAGACTCTGACACAAAAGAGTAGATCAAAATGCCAGTCATCGGATACATCCAGTACTTGGACTCAAGTGTTCATTATCTCCCACTTACATAACCAGCTCTCCCTATTACGTGTGTATATCTATATTCCTCTCCTTTAATGACACATAGATATCTTGGGCTCCAAATATTAAGGAGTGGACAGGATTTCAGCACCAGATATTCTTCTGTTACTCCCTTTGATCCATAAAGATGAAATAATAATGTTTTAAGTTCTTTTTTTAAAATTTTCAGGGTTTTTCAGATTATATGCAAGTTTCCGCAAAAACAACAAAAAAAATTTGAAGCTCATAAACTCTTACCTGATGCACACAGTAACCAAAGCAACATGCACAAACAAGTCCAAATAAAACAAGGAGGACATCAGAACACTAAAGTCTTCCTGCAATCCCAACAGAAATCATACATTCAGTCTTCAAGAGACCTTTAAAAAAACTAGCCTCTTATGCAACTTTTTAGCCAGATTGTGACTGGTCCAAATGGCAATAATGGCATTAATTTCAACCAGTTTATGGCCATTTATATATGGCTACACAAATTGAGGATCTGAAGTCTTTAGAATCTTGCTGGCCTCATTATTCTTCCACATGAAGCCTCCAGAGCTTCACAATGTGCTTGCTTAACACTGCAGCACATGCATGCTCAGTCCATTAACCTGGGAATGCATTTTATACCAGCCTGTTAGAATTTATTTCCACATAAATAGAAAAAAGCCAACTTGAGACTACGTTAAAAATCTTTGAAGTATATGAAAACATAATTGGGATGGACTTTAAATACTTCTGTCACACGGTAGTGGCAAAGGAGGTATCATTAGTTAATTTTAGAGCTAAGGAGGGAAAGAATTATTAACTCATTTATGTGTAGCACTGAGTTTCAACAGAATTAATTTCTTTCTTTAGTGGGATACTACAGTCTGAAAGCGTTCCTTAGAATAGCAACTTTCAGCTAAATGCTGCCAGCAGATGGCTGGGAAAAAGCATATCTAACAAAAAAAGGAGTGACACAAAATATATTCCAGAACATGCATTTTCTTAGGAACACCTGTGGAGGACCAGACTTTTGACTACCACAATACAATACAAAGTTACAGTACAGGAGGACATGTTGCAGACTAAAGAGGCAAAATAAGAAAGTCTACAAACAGAGGAATAGGCACAGATAACAAGACAGTATCCAAGGACAAGGAACTCATACTGCTAAATTGGTCTAGATGGGAGAAGACAGCATTGTCATTGTGTAAGTTAACAGTGTTGAAATGTCAGCAAAGTTACTTCATTTGGTAAATTGCAAGTGATTTTCAATGTGGTATTTAGTAAATGGTGTTGGCAAAACAAAACATGAACCCTAAAGGCATTTAATGCCATGGATGTCACACACTCATACTCAGCTAGCCTACAGCTGGACCAGCAGTGCGCAACAAAAGACTAATTTGGCAAAGGTAGTCTTTTGTCTGCTTGCAAACAGCATTTGAACCACACGTAATATTCACAAATATTTTAAGATTCTTGAAATAATCAAGGGATGTTGTGCCAAGGGATTTCAGCTTGTGACTTATTTAAAAACTGTTCACAGTTATGAGTATTATTTAGAATAGCCAAAATGCTTAATTTCTCATACCTGACAGCCATATAGGCCATACATGCTTGCGATTATGTCTGAAGAAGCTGCAGAGCTGTATAAAAGCTCTACTGGCTCCAGGACATTTTGTGAAAAAACAGCAACAAAACTATGCAAAGAGGTTGTGTAAGGATTTTTTTTTTTTTCTTCTACAGTAAAGATTGACCTTGCTTTCACAGGTAAACCTTATTTTCAGGAAAAGTTCAGCTAAACTTCCTAAAACATGTGAATTGACTTAAAGTTTCCAGAACACAGTCTTAATTCAAGAATCCTGAGTTTAACAGATACACACGGCAGGCCAGGAAAACTGGGAAATAATTGTCCTCAGTGCTAAATGGCAGAGCTGCAGCCCAGCACAGCTGGAGCTATTCCAGACAATGTTTGGGCTCTGTTTAGAAGTTAGTACAGTACAGGGACCATTCCTATTAGCTCCAGCTGTCTGAGGACTAACAGAGCTGTCTCTGGCACTATTTAGTTTACTAGTACTAGATGTAGCCACGGAGTCCTCGAAAACAGTCTGTGAATTGTGGCTGCTGGTGACCAGCAGATGCGCAAGGTCTCTCTTCATCTACTCTACAGTCATGAGCTGCTGAGCTCCTGAATGGTTTGCTGACATTGAGCTGCTTCCAATCTACACGACTTCAGCATCCTGATAGGAATAACGCATTTATAGAATTTGTAGGTCTGACTCGGAGGTCTGTGACACTAAGGTAAATGCACAGTAATGGCAGAAGGTAGTGGAATGTGCACAGATGTTCACCAAGGTGTCCAACATGAGTATGGGCCCCACAATTTCGTTTTGGGTTGAAAATCCAAACCCATGAAAATCAGTGACAAAATTCACATCAACTTGGAACCAGAATTCCCCCTGCCAAGTTTACAAAGGTCAGATATGCAAAACAAATGCATACTTCTTGTAACGGTTTCATTATGTTTAGAACAATTAGCTATTAATTCCCACATCGCACATGTAGACTTCGGGATGAGAACAAAACTGCTTGGAATAATTAGACCTGCAGTATTTCAAGGTCATTTGTGTATTTTGAGGAGAGTCCTACATGTCCTGTGTGGCAGATATAATCAACACTGCCATATGAGACAGTCACAAGTATTTTAACACAATACCCCAAGCTTTGAGCTGTGGATAGCTCTCACACTCCATCAGGCTTTAACAATAGGTCAAGGTTTAGGGATAGATTCTGCTTTCACAATTTAAAAAAAAAACAAGCCTTGGAGTGTTTTGATTTTTTCATTTGCAGGAGGTAGATCAAACACATAATGAGCAGAGTTAGTATGTAAAATATCACAGATACTAAGGATTCAAAAGACACTGCAAAAGAACATTTTTTCAGTCATTCAGCAACAGCTTGAACATGTCGGACTGCCTGTGCTATCTTATTGTTGCTTCTAAGTATGAACCACAGGTTGAGTGCAGACTCAGAATCTGCCTTTTCCTCCTATCGTTACAATTTTCAGATATGAGACCAGCTCGACAAGTAAAGCACCAGAATTCTAAATTTAGACAGAAACAAAAATAATGACTGGAATCACTTTAGGTTTGCTTTAAAAAAAGTATCCATATTAAAAAGATCTCTTTACCTTATTAATTAATACATTTACAGACTTTTGGCCAGAAGGGGTGATTCTGTGGAACAGAATTGCGAAATAATACATAGGAAACTGCAAAGATGAAACTCTGAATTTAAAAAGATGAGAGAATCCTATTTTGTTTGCATTCCCCATTTTGCATCTCATTATCTTGTCACCTGGAGATGACATTATACTATTCTGGCTACCAGGATTAGTATTCCTTATCACAAAACCGTTTTTCATAAGGAAAGTTCCTGCAGCCAGGCTTTTTATTACAGTTGCATTGCCTCAGTATTGATATTCTCTGGTGTAAAATTCCCTTCTATTTCTTCTTCCTAGTTAAAGCTAGAAAGTGTAATGAAAACATGACCCAACCCAACTGGACTGATTGGCTTAACACTATATGTCCACTATCCCATTGTGGTTCTCTATGGGCTAGGTCATAACAGCATCTAGCTGGGCACTGGAGACTGGCCTGCCACAGTGAGACAATGTCAAGTGCCCTCTACAGCATGTCTAAAGATCATCCTACTGCATCATTTTAGCTGTTTTTCTTTTACCTCTCTGCTCGGATTTTGTATCTGAGAACAAAATAGGCAATTAGGCGCAGAGAGAAGAAGAAAATTCCAAGAACAATGAAGTCCAGGTAAAGTTTGGCATTTTCTACATCCAGTTCTCTCAGAATGGCCTCTGATTTTTGAAAATGGCAAGTATCATCTTTGTCACAATGCAGATCCTCTCGATCCAGTCCATAGATGGAGAGAATAACTCCTTCGAACCCATATCTGGAAAGAAGAAGGATGGATTACAAGTAAAAGTCTTGATTATCTGTTTAGAAGTACACCACCAGCAATACAATCCCTATGAGAGCTCGACTGGAAAACACCGAGGGGTTCAGTATCATTCTGACACATGTGTCTCGGGGCAAGTTCTATCCCTGTATCCTGGTTTCGGCTAGGATAGAGTTAATTTTCTTCCTAGTAGCTGGCTAGTGCTGTGTTTTGGATTTAGTAGGAGAATAACATTGATAACACACTGATGGTTTAGTTGTTGCTAAGTACTGCTTATGCTAGTCAAGGACTTTTCAGCTTCCCATGCTCTGCCAGGGGCACAAGAGGCTGGGAGGGGGCACAGCCAGGACAGCTGACCCAAACTGCCCAAAGGGCTATTCTATACCATGTGATGTCATGCTCAGTGTAGAAACTGGGGGGAGTTGGCTGGGGGGCAGTGATCGCTGCTCGGGGACTGGCTGGTTATCGATCGGCAGGTGGTGAGCAATTGCATTGTGCATCGCTTGTTTTGTATATTCTTTTATCATCATCATTATTATTATTGTTATTATCTTCTCTTCCTCTGCTGTCCTATTAAACTGCCTTTATCTCAACCCACGCGTTTTACTTTTTTTTTCCAATTCTCTCCTCCATCCCACCCTGGGGGTCGAGGGTGAGTGAGTGGCTGTGTGGTGCTTAGTTGCTGACTGGGGTTGAACCACGACACCCTGTTACAATCAAGCAAATGACATGTCACTGGCATTTTACATAAGACTGAGCAAAGACAGAAGTTTTGCCTTTGCTTCCAGTTAGGGTATAGTGCAATTCCTCTGAAGAAAAATGTTAAAATACAAAGCAGACTAATTTCATATTCAGAAATTCCCCTTTTAAAAGTGACATCACAAATTCAATTTTTTGAAACTATGCAATGGGTATACAATTATGATTTCAAGTCAGAAATATATTAAAACTGGCATAAATCTAGAACATTTCTTCTCTTTCCTTCCATGTGCTATAGTTTCACTGACAATGCACAGTTCCCATGTCTCCCCTGGCACTGGGTGCATCTAGGATTTGACTTTGCAAGCAGATACACCATCGTGGATCCCATGTGTACGACAGCACTCTCTGGCTTCAGGAGACCCTACATGGGCTAGACAATGGCTTAAGGCCTCATCTTGAATTCTAGCTAGTAATTCAGGGGGTGTGGTCTCTTAATCTTTGATAGGTCTCTGTGTAAGCCCTCACTTGCCAAATGAGAGGATATTTTAGCTTGGGTTTTTTCAGTAATAGTGCAGCTTGGGCAGGGTGGGGAAAAGGGGGATGGGAAAATTCACCTCACCTAATTTCAGCTATAAACATTTAAGTGTCTAGTCTAAATTAACCCTCTGTTCTAGCCTCCAGAGGTTTCCTGATGGCAATCATCCCATCTTGTCTCAGACAGTGAGAGTGACAGACATAGGTAGGATATAAAGTGCCTATGGTTCTTAAAACACTAGTTTAGATTGGAGAATGCATAAATACCATGCCTCTTGTGGCAGTGCTACTGTGAAACTTAAAAACAGGTCTTTTTCCAACAAGTCTACCTAGGATACAGCACTGATTTACACAACATCTTCTTCCAAAATGAGGTGCTGGCATCAATTTCTCAGTTGGGCATACTGCCCTTATTATTTAAGAAATCTGCTATTGCAAAATCCAGGAAGATTTGCATGCTGTGCAATCCCACTGAATTCAAGGGGACTGACATGGACTTGTGGCCAATAATCTGTACTGAATGTTCCTATTTATTTCACATCGTATACAACATAAAATGCAGTGAGATAATGTGGTATACATCATATGTACGTCTATACTCTAAAAAAATGTGCTGTGAACATAGTCTTTTTGGCACTCAAAATAACCAACCAAACAAGCAAAGGCAAACAAATGGCATTTCCAGATGGGAGGTTAATGGCCTCCCTAGCAGTACCTGACATACGAAATGTAGGACATCCACTGGAGGTATGTTGGGATGGTATCAAAGCTGACAAAAAACCCAGAGAACAGAAGCACCGGGATGGCAGTAACTGGGCCCACAAAAGTGGCCACCTGTGAAGAGAAGGAATAGATAGTCTCTTGCCAGACAGCCAGAGAAAAAAATGAAAATTAAATTGCTCTTTCATCTAATGTCCTGACCTCCAGTAAGGAAACCAGCCTTTAAAAGCACAGACTTTCTTTATGGCAGTAGGGAGCGATGCCGTTCCAGTCCTTCTTATAATGCTACTCCTCAAAATTATCACAGTTCCAAATACTAGGAAATTACTGACTTTTTTTGACAGGATTTCTTGTGAGGGGAAGGTTAGATGCTCTTAGTGGAGGAAAAGGGGTACCCCTCCTTTTCCTAAACCCTTCTGATAGTTGACAGCGCTGCTGTGCTGGGATCTGTCCTTTGAAGGACTTGAACCCACCAAGAAGTTTACAGAGCAAGACGGGCACTGTGATTCCCTTGCTTCTCTGGGTATGAGACCCCTCTTTCTAAATATTATCCTTTCTCACTCATTCCCCACTGAGGACCCACAGACCTCCCTCCTTATTAATCCCACTTGAACAATAGCTTCAACTAGTCCTAAAACGTTGTGAAGAGGATAAGGAACATCTCCAGCTGGGTGGCTTTGGTGGGGAAGACAGATCTTGACCCAACTCCAGCCTGTCCTCTCTACATCGCCTACAGGGCAAAGGGCCATATAGGTATCTCTGGGGAGAGCAGAAGCATAGCGATCACACAACAGGCCTATGCTGGTCTCCACAGGGTGGCACAGAGAGGGAATAGCCTTCTACTGCAGAAATCTCAATAGCATCAATGCATATTAATGTCAATATCATCTGTTATCACAATGTGGAATGGTCACCTCAGCACATCTCCTGCCAGGAAGCAGAATGGAGTTACATGGCCAGCTTCCAGTGTTACAGTCATGCCAAAAGCTACTTCTCTCCCTCCCTCTGCAGAAGTTTAGTTTCTGGGCAAGCCTTTTCCTGCCTTGCATCCTTCAACCTTTCTGTACGTCTACGGAAGAACCCTCTCCTAAGCTACTGAGCCTCATGGCCTACCTCCACTTTGTAAATGCATAAAAATACATCAGTCCTGCAGTTTCTAGAACCTGCTCAGCCCGGGATGAATAGCAAGTGACAACCCTCTCAAGCAGGGGCAGGCACAGCCTCACTCAGATGGGGAAGGAACGTCAAAGCCTCACATCCCGTCATCGCTCAACAAATGTCTTGGGGACACAGCAGCAGTCACAGTAACCAGTCAGTGTTAGGAGACGGCAGGGTTTCTGTGAGACCACAAAACACCATCAGTACCTGGAGGGATGTAGAAGCTGCACCTATGAGAAGACCCAGTGACTGAGCCACCAGGGATGTCATGGTTCCCAAGGCTGCGAAAAGGACAAACCGGAGTGCATCAGATGGCTGTGAAGTCATCCAGTACACAATGCTGCAGTAAGCCACAGGAAACATGATCTGCAAGGAGATACACTTGGAGTTAGTCCATTAAAGCCAAACATTCACTGTTACTCTGAATAAGATAAAAACATGGGGAGTACCAGTTAATCCACAGCTCTCAGCCTTTCCATTATATGACAGGCGTGGCTGAAGAGAATAAATATGTCTGTCACAGACTGTGATATCTATCTTACTACCTGGGCATTAGAAAACAGATCCCACTCACTTACAGCCCTTTTCAACTTCCCTTCTGCAAAAAAGCAAAGATGGTCATCTGTTTATTAAAAAAGTATTGGGTCAGGTCTTGGCTTTTGTGAAGTCCTGCTGTTTACTCTTATGGTGCTTCTGATTTGGACCTGAAGCTTCACTACACTCATATGGACACTTTCTCCACTATTCAGATGGATAAAATACCAGTACTAATCTTCTTGGCAAGTGGAGTTGCCATGAACTTAAATGGTTCTTCTTTTATTGAAGAGTAGAGCATATACCTGAAACGGAACATCAGCCATGGTTTTGGCGAGATAGTAGGCTTTCAGGCTGTACCAGTAGTTCAGATGCTCTCTAAGAAACACTCCCATCTCAAGAGGAACTACAGAGAACACAGATTAGTAAATTAGGTTGTCAGTGTGCAATACTGCTGCACATAATAACACAGTTTATCCATATCTAATCCTGCACTGCTGCAGTCCCATAGTGGGACTGGAACTTTGAAGCCTTTGACAGACCAGCAATAGTTTTGATGATTTGTTATGAAATGTAAGAGGTGAGCCCTGAGAGCTGCTCACTGTTTAGACTACGTACCAGTCTACTCAGATGACCTGAGCCTCCCTTAAAGAGGCTTTTTGGATTAAAAGTTGTGTCAAAACTTAAAGAGCCTGGTTATTCCTTTTGGTCCAACAGGGAATCCAAAGTAACAGTGCTCCCAGACGAAGTATGGAACAGTCCATACTGCAGGAGTTTGCTTCTGACACCACAAGAATATGCTGATCTTATGCAGCAGTCATGACTTGGAAGTCCCAGAGAAATTATTACATCCTCCCTAAGACCAACCACAAGCTCATGAGATGGTTGAGATGCACTGGTACAAGGGGAAATTCCAGTCCAGGACTGTAACAGTGAACTGTCCCGGTTGAGAAACACTGACAAAACTGGGGAGAGAGGTGCCACTGGACAAGCCTATCTCTGTTTACCTCTACACAGCGGCTCAGTGAGTGCTAGATTTATCCCCACACCTGTCCTAGAAGTAGAAGCAGAAGTCAAACGTTAACTTATACAAAACAGATATATTACAACACCCTCCCAGCTTACTGCAATCTCTTTGTCCATTGATGTAACAGTATGACTGGTACTCACATGTAAGGACAGTTGGCATGAGCGCAGCAAACATAAGAAACAACATGGAAAAAAAGAGGAAGCCAGAGTTGCTGAGGACTTTCTTAGCTTCATTGCCAATGCCTAAGTAGAGCAAGCCGATGAGCAGTCCAATGCCAATGTGTGAGGTGATACGCAAGTGTGTCAGGACCTACAAGCAAGGAAAGAGTAGTATTTCTGATCAGAAAGTCTGGGCTCAGGAACAAGGGCAATATGACTGATATCAGATATACAGATTGCAGAAAAGGAGTTCTTATGTCCAGAAGGATTTACACAGAGATGTTCATTTCCTGCTGGCAAACTGGGCTTCAGCGAAGGAAAATTTACTGTAATGAGCTTCCCAGTGTCAATCAGACACACGGCTATTTACAGTACATAAAATTGCTTCCTGTAAACACAGGCAGAAACTGAAAATGCTGCAACCTGAAATCTTACTGTCTGATGATGTCATGGAGCCACTGGCCCTCACTCATCAGGAGAAGGAGACTTTCTCTCTCACTAAAAGATAATCCCAGAGCAGAAGAGAGGCAGAAAAGGTATTTCAGGCTTGTACAGATCAAACTAACTTAATCAGGCATAAATTAGCCTTCTGTGCCTTCTCTGCAATACAGTATTCCTACAAGAGGTATTGAAGAACAAAAGAAATAATAAAATTTGGAACAACTGCAAGCCTTTACAGTTGAGCAGAAAAAGAAAATCTTACAAACAACACTGTTCTTCAATCTATGGATCAGAAAATAAGTTACAGTTTCTCCTTGGTGGAGATGAGGAGAGGACCATATGATCCATGGTTAGTGCTCATACACCTCTGAGATATGCTCTTCAAGTGTACCAGAGACATTCTGATCAGCTAGTCGAGCAACATGGAGAATGTGAAGCTGTATGTACGCGTTGGATTACAAGAGCCCTCCCACATGAATATGTCGATTTATTTTTGACCAAATATTTGGTACTACACCAGATGTGCAAACTATTCCAGATTGCAGGAAGGCAAAATTCAGCAACTTAATTAATCCTTGAATGACAAATGCACTATAATGTAAAACAGCAAGGGAGAAGAACAAGTTATGGCAAAGAAATGTGCCGGCAAAACAACAAATGGGTATAATACATATATATATGGTCTGGAAATAAGAAGATGCTTCCTAAGCACTAGAATTACATGGTTCTGCCATATCTTCCCAACCAGAGCAGTGGGGAAAATAGCTGATTGCTTTTACTGTGGCATTCAATATAGTGTTTACCTTTCTGAAAGGGAAGGAATACTGTGGTTATCTGACAGCAGAGGCCTGGACCCAGTGGTACAGTAGGTTTCTTCCAGGCCTGTAGTTCTGCATGGACATGTCTACACTGGAAATGGTAATGTCCTAAAGAGATACCTGCCAGTGAAGCTCAGCTTACCTTGTCACAAGGGTAACCTACTCGTGCTGAGCTCCACATGGCTCAACTGCTCTTGGTTTCCAAACTACCTCATCTGAATCCACCATATGCCCACCAGTATGGATATATTGTCTGGCTTTCCTCTTTTCTAAGGACATGTCAAATTAATACATCAATATATATTAATGTATATATTGTCTTTTCTGCCCCTCATGTAAAGCACTGAAAACCTTCCAAGACACAGAAAAAGCAGCAGACAAACCCCCCTCAGATTTATCAAATTGCAAATTTGCCAAAGAGAAAAGCACTTGGCCAACCAGTACCCATTACACTGTACACGGGTGAGTTCCTTGGACAGGTGTGCATGTCAGGTCTAGTTGAGGAAGCTCATCTCCTTAATTCAGGCCTGTTAATGAAGGGACAATCCTATCTAGGGGACATTTCAAAGCACCAATCAGACAATGTAAATAGTCCTATCTCTTAAATTCACAAAGAACTCAGCTATTTAGAGATAAGAGAAACTTCCTTGAGTTAAAAAACCAAAAAAGTCCCACTGCATTTTGTTAATGCAAACTAAGCACCCAAAACATTTAATGAACATACATGAAAACTGCAGGGTTTGGGATTTTGAAGGGGGTTGTTTATTTTTAAGAAAAAAGGTGAGAAATATGGGCTTTTTCCTTGGGAATGAAGAGTTTCATTATGATACTTACATTATCTTGATATTAAATGTATGAAACCAGAAATGTTCCCTTTTCCGAGAAGCAGTATTTTTATTTACCAATTTTCTGTTTCAAAAATAAAGACTTTAAGTATTACCCATACATCACACTAAAATTATTATCTCTGCCACCCTGAATTTTCTGGAAAAACTAATTTCGTGACACACCAGTACAACTTCTCACTCACTTTTCAGTAGGATAACTAACTGTATAAGGGACCTGCCAGCACAGAGGGGATTTAAGCTTTAGGTTTTTAGGCCAGATGCTTCTGAGTTCCTCTGAAGAAAACTGTTGTTCACAATGAAGATGGTAGAGTTAACAGCAAGACTGAAAGATCAGTCTCTTTCCTTTGAAATTCTGTGATGATCTTCATGCATGGGCTGTTGGACAGGCCTTTTAAGGCGTATTACACTACCTCACAACCAAGTGAATAGACCTTTTGGCTACAAAAGTTATTATAACCGCAGTCTTACCGAATCCCTCATGATGGTGAGAAAAGTTCTTTTGAAGAGGATACAGAACTGGGTTAGGCAGCTGGCAGAGAAGCTGTGGCAGCCTTCCGTGGAGGAGGAATCCTGCGGAAACACATAAAAGAATAAACTTCTTTCTTTGCAGTATCTTGCTTAGTTTTCATTCACAAAACCCCACTCTCATCAGCTGAATGTGCCCAGAAACATCTTCCATTGACCGAGGATTTAAATTCTCTTCCTCCCCCTCCAGCCTCAAGCCATGCCCATTAGTTGTGATATACAAAATACCTCTTCAGAAGGCCGGTGCCAGAGGAAGGGATTCAACTCATTCTCACCACCAACATCTCTCTTGTAGTCTGTGTCACATATCCTCTCCCGTACTGCCCTTACCAGCCGGCCGTTCTGGTCTCCATATTCACCAGATGCTACTTCCATAACTACAGAAAACAGAAGGTAAGTTACTGGTTTACACTACTGACTAGCTACAAGCCTTATTATTAGATCCCCTTGATTCTGTAGCATTAACAGAAACAGGAGTTTTGTCTAGAACAGACTCTAAAATGCCACATGCAAATTCGTATGTATACACACATAATTTAAATGTATCTTTCTATAAATCTTCAGAGAGTTCTCTTCATCCTGGAAGTTAAATGAACCATTTTAGAGGAAAGGCAGTGAATATGGGATAAGCTTCGTAATAAAAAAAGGCCAAAAGTTTGTTTTTGTGATCCTTACTGCTTCTTTGGAGTTAAGAAACAACAATGAAAAAACCCTCAATGCTATCAGCTGTACAAGATAAAAAACCAGAATATTTGAGCCACTTTGAAAAGCCAGTAAGATTAATTACTATGAAACACTAAAGAACATGTTTTAACTTTCATTTCCTGGACGTGGACTTCCACCAGAGAGAAATATTCACTAAATTTTACCACTAGATGGCACTCAGATTACTTAGAAAAAATCTGAACAATTTTATTTTGAATTTTGGTACATATATGTACACATGCACATATGTATATATGTACAAAAGTATAAAACACAGTATGGTCCCCATTACCCTAAAGGTGCTAATCAAATACAACATAAATTAAATAAACTATTCAAATTGTCCTTACCAAAATCTGCTGGATTGTGGTAGGTTGGGCAATTCAAACCCAAATCTCTCAAGTAAGGGACTAGGTTTAATACCTTCCCACGGTAAATGCATTGACCTTGACTTAAAACATAGAGCTGGAAAACAAAGCAAAGCAAAGAAAAAGAAAAAAAAAAAGAAAAAAAGAAAAATGTGAAATAGTTATCAAAATATTTGAACCTGCTATCTGTATGACAGCAATCTATTAACCTAATGACCCTTTCTTGTCCCTGTGGGAAGAACACCTTGGGAAGATTTGTCACCATTTGGAACTACTTTTGCATGGAATTACAACTAATGGAAAATGAAATGCTTAAGGTTTGAACTCTGCAAACATTCCCTCCAGGACTTCAAGCACATAAACCAGAAACAGACTGTTTCTTAAACACAGAAACACACTAATTCCAGCCTTAGACACATGCTGAAAATAGGCAAGAAACTGTAGAGCAAAACCATCTAATTTCCACACATTACAGATATTTTGGGCTGGGAGATGAAGCTGGTGAATGCAGGAATGGAAGGAGAGGTAGAACAGCACAGCAATGGGAAACAGCTTGATTATTCTTACTTTTAGCCACACTACTGACTTCAAATAAACCTCCTTGCCAGACTGGCAATCCGCAAGAGCTTGTTCACCCATGGCATAGTAGGTTTTCTCTTAGCTCTCACAGGTCTAATTTAAATCTCCTAACAAGATTAAGTAAATTTAAATCTAACCTAAACACACATGGTCCACATCCTGTTGTTAGGTTGGAGAAAAGATCTCCAGTGGACTTCATTTCAATTATTATTATTTCACATGAATAAACTTTTCTGAATTTACACCCGTGTAGCTAGGATGAGAATGTGTACTAGCAACATTGCAGACACTGACACTAAAGCTCTCTTGCTCTTAAATTACTCTAATTTACTTTACTGACAGCCCTGTGCCCAGGAGCAGTGGTGGGTGAAGGCATGAAAATCACAAGAGCAATAATCATGATTTCACAAACATACCAGCCTTTAAAAACACTACATGTAAATAATGGAAATCGGCAGAGAAGAGGAAAAGAAACATAATCAGAAAGTATATTTTGTTCTTATTTATTTAATGTATTTATCTCATTTGGAACCATAGACTAGAATTATTAATGTTTTTACTTAAACTGTGTAGCCTTGAAAGTATAAGCCACCTAAACCACACATAAAGAGTTTGAGAATAATACCTGATCAAACAACTCGAACAGTTTAGCACTGGGCTGGTGAATTGTGCAGATGATGGACCTGCCACCTTGGGCTAAAGCCTTCATCAGAGAGACAACCTGAAAACATGATGCACTATCCAAGCCGCTGAATAAAAAGAAAGAAGTTTGTTATCCACAGGTCCATAGGCACCACTCAAAACTAGCACACGTATTTGCTACTTTGGTCTCTCACTATTATCCTTTTATGAATTTTCCCTGTAGCAGTTTAATTTCATCATATGCCAACCTTATGCTTGTATTTCTCCATCAGTCTTTTAAGTTGGAAGCATGCCTGAGAATAAAAAATAGAGTATTCTCAAAGCTGCTTTGAGGGACTTCTACATTTTAGGACTGCAGATTTAAATGCTCCCAACTTTAATGAATATACATATTCATAGCTCTCCCAGCCTTCTCCTAGACGGATCACAGACTTTGATTCTAAATATGCTATGCTCATTATTAAAAATCACACTTCAAAAAGCTTATATTCAAGCTATCTTTGCTTGAAAAAGAAAACTCATGGCACAATCTGAAAATGTTTTCCTCTCTCTCTTCCTTCCTGTTTCAGTTTGTGTGCCATGGTCCAGTGGTTACAGCAGCGACCCAAGGCACGAAGTACCCAAATCAAATGATTTCTTGTGGCCTTATTCAGTACTTCCAGGCAACACAAAATGAGCCTTTTCCAAGGTGAGTAACCCTTCTGCAGCACTGTGCTACTATATAAAGCAATATTTGTCTATCTTTAATTTTTGGCCTTGAAGTACCTGGTTGGTTCATCAAAAAACATGACAGGAGGATTGTTCACCAGCTCCAAAGCAATGGCAAGACGCTTTCTCTGGCCTCCAGAAAGGCTCCCAGTCCTCGTATTGGCACATGTCAGCAAACCGAGGGCTGTCAATATTTCCTTTACCTAGAGGAAACACAACACCACGACATTTGAATTTGAATTGTTAGCACAAAAGAAAAGCCTCTTTACTGATTTTCATGGAGAATGTAAACTAGCTCATGACTTTGTTTCACCATCCATACAATGAAGCCTTTTTCCATCTAATGTAGCATTTATTAGACACAGTGGGGCTTAACAGTCTACCATTTACTATTTTCACCCAAATTCTACTTGTTTGTCTACATGACCTCTCCCAGTAAGGAAGCCTTGCCTGTAAAAATGGAGTGGAAACCAGTTCGTCTACAGCATCCCTTGGATATGGCACCGATATCAAAAGAGTCTGTGCAGCATGCGAGTAGCTATTGCACAGTGAAACCAAGAAGCTTCTTTCAATAGAACTTCTAGGCTGTATTTACAAGGGACTGGAGAACTGTGTAACAAAAATCAGTGGTTTCTATAGAGCAATGACCTGCTCTTATCTCATCTGTTCTTCACAGTCTGCTCTTTAAAGTGTGGCCATTGATTTTAAGTGTATTCATTCTCCTCAGAGCCAATTCAGTTGTCACACATACTCTCAGATGTTTGGGATTTCCTCAAGACACAGCCTCAGGAAGGGCACAGCTTGTCCCGGGGTTTTTGGAGCGAAAGGAGAACAATCCCAGTCACTATGATCTTTTCTGTTTCAGTGATTGTAGATCTGGCCTGGTAGCCCTATATGAGGAAAATAGCTCTTTGGCATCAGTCAAAACATGGACATAAAAATGGGTGAATTCAAGCTGCATTGCTCATGCAATTAAAAAATCTACCACTTAAAAGGTAGAAAGCAAGCCCAGACATTTAATACTTCTCTGAAGTATAGGAAAAGGAGCCTGTCATTTTTTAAAGTAATAGCTGCTTAGATAGAGGGAACTTTCCAGAAAGGGTGGTTAACATGGTAAAAATTGGTTAGACCAACCAGGGCCTGACCCTTTGCTTGTCCTGATTTTGATTTTCAGGAGCTACCTCTCTCAGTGAGAGGGGGTGAGAAAAGAACAAAACCCACTAACCCTCGCTCTCAGAGAGAAGAGCCCAACTACCTCCTTCCCTTTATCTCTAGGAAGGATGCTATGGGACATGGGGAGCACAAGCTAGGGGAACTAGAAACATAAACTATGGTTCACTGGAGGATTTTCCACTTGTCCCTGTTTTAAACAAGCATCTGTAATCTTGCTAACATGTGCATAACTTCATAAGATTTGTCTATGGTAAACATTTACCTTACAATTTACAACAATAAAATGAATGATCTAGTCCAGCACAGGCCAGTAACACTAACCAGAAAATGACTGCCCTTCTAATATGTGTTGAATAAATGCATGCACAGCACAGGTTTTTCCTCAAAGAGCTGTTTGTAATTACAGTGACAGTGTGAACAAGTGAATTAACTTGCTTGGCCTAACTTACTAAAGTGTAAATGAATTAAGACTTTCAAAGTACAAATAAAATTAACAGCTGTTTCTAAACAAATGTGTTTTCCAATAAAAACTCTGTGTTTAGCTTACTTAAAAAAAAAAAATACTATGTGAGAAAATCAAAGCACTCTTAAGCTACCAAACATATGCTGATTCCTGTAAGTTTCCTCTGGAGCTCTTTCTGATTTTCAAGGACCCTCTGAGATTGAAAAAATGCCAAATATTCCAATTTGGAAGTAAATACAGACAAAAGACAGCCACAAAAATGGCTGCTCTACCTCTGAAGTGCCATTGTTTTCCCATTTCAGGCAAAGGGTATACTTTTCATCAGGTGGGTCAGAAGCAGTTTCACCTTCTCCTTTATAAACCTCTGCTGAAGAATCACATGCCAGCTACTGTCAGAGGTGTCTTTTACTAGAATAAGAGACTCCTCTGAAATGATTAAGTCCAACAAGTCAAGTTCAGGCCTCCATCACATTAAAAAAATGAATTAAAACTGGCATCTGGGGAAGAGCAGGAAGCCTCTCATGTTCCTGAGACTTTCTCATGTCCATGCTCCACTCCCAGTCCTGTGACCCCTCATCTCCTCCTTCCTCCTGCACAACCTGGTTTCAGTTGAGTCTTGCAGGGTGGCTTCTTCCAGTCACCTGCATGATTTCCTAATTTGCCTACAGAGGGTCTCCTCAGTGCATGGCTTTGGGAGCACAAAATGCACCAAAATGAAAATCTCACTGTTCTTTCTACTTATGAAAAAGAACACTGAAGAATCATGGAAAGCCCAAAACTTGAATTTTACAGGAGTAAGTACAGCAAAAACACTGGGAGCTTCCTATACCAATGGTAACTCCTTTTTCATTGGTTGCAAAGCCACTAGAAGACCTGTCCACAGTAACAAACATGTCCCTAACAAAGGTAGAAGGAGCAGCCAGATTTCTTGGAAGGTAAGTAATTTTCCAAGGTTATCCCATGAGCCCCATTAGCCCTCAGCATAACCCCCACCTAACAGAGCCTTCCTCCTTGAGGAGGCAGTGTATGAGAGATCATACTGCCTCCTTGTTGGTGCTGTCTTATGCTGGACTTTGGCTATGGCTTGAGGCCAAAACACCTCCAAACACTTTCTGAGCTACCGTTTCACTTTTCACGACTCTCTCAACAACCTGAACCATGTCTGCTTTCACCAGTGCCATGACTTTTTTTTTATGTTTAGCTCCAGACATTATGTTTAGCTCCATCCCTGGGCACAGATGGTTTTGAAACACGCTGCACAGCACTGAAATGTTCCTCTCTGTCCTGGTTTTGGCTGGGATAGAGTTAATTTTCTTCCTAGTAGCTGGCTAGTGCTGTGTTTTGGATTTAGTAGGAGAATAACATTGATAACACACTGATGGTTTAGTTGTTGCTAAGTACTGCTTATGCTAGTCAAGGACTTTTCAGCTTCCCATGCTCTGCCAGGCGCACAAGAAACTGGGAGGAGGCACAGCCAAGGCAGTTGATCCAAACTGACCAAAGGGCTATTCCATACCATATGACGTCATGCTCAGTATAGAAACTGGGGGGGTTGGCCAGGGGGCAGCAATCGCTGCTCGGGAGCTGTCTGGGTATCGGTCGGTGGGTGGTGAGCAATTGCATTGTGCATCACTTGCTTTGTATATTAGTATTATTATTATCATTATTATATCGTTATTATTATCATTACTGTTTCACTTTATTTCAATTATGAAACTGTTCTTATCTCAACCCAGGAGTGTTTCTCACTCTTACTCCTCCGATTCTCTCCCCCATCCCATCGGGGTAGGGGGAGTGAGCGAGCGGCTGTGTGGTGCTGAGTTGCTGGCTGGGGCTAAACCACGACACTCTCCTAGGCTTTGGCATGCTCTGGTAACTCCACCCGAGCACTGACAGATGCCTGAGCTCTGAGTGTCCTTAGGAATACACAGGCCCAGACATTTTAAATGCAGAATAAACATGTAGAAAGGGCACATTTCCAGCCCTTTAAAGGATTAACTGAGGTAACCAAATACAGTTGAGAAAGCCACCTCAGGCACAAGCTAACACGTCAGAAGCCATTTTGTCTGGTCACACACCTCCAAGGTATTTTCTTTAAAAGGACAGCCGTATGTCAGAACAAATGATGGGGAGGAATAGTGGCCATCAGATGGGTGAGAGGAGCACGCTTCCTAGTGCAGGTCCAGCTGGATTATAGGTCTCCATGGGCAAAAACACAACAGGACTTCTCTCCCACTCAGGAAAGTCATATGTCTGCCACAGGCAGAAGCAGGACAGAGCAGCAAATGTGCAAGAGTAAATTGTGCAACTCACTCGCAGTGTTTTAGAAAAGATATGTGCATGTTTTAGCCTTGTCTCCTACTTGTCCAAACCTTGGTCATCCAACACAGCTTCAAAATATATTAGTCTGTACCTTAACCGCAACTGCGTTGAATTGTCCAGTGCAATAATATGCCCACCAACATAGCCACAAAGATCAAGGCTTTCAAACACGAGCACAGAAATTTCTGCAGCAATTACAAGAACTGCTGAGTTTCTCATTAGTCCTTGGAAAAATGAAAGCTCACATTCACCAGTGCCAGACATGACTGATTTATCTCACCGCACATAAGATGACGGAGCCCTCAGATATGCATGTAATAGAATCTAAGGTGCTAAGGTACATTAAAAGGAATCCTACAAAACCTGTGAATTTATTTCAGTAGATCTTTTACAATTATGTACTCAGTCTCATACTGAAAGCAGCTTTCATAGACACTGCAGTAAACATTCCCTCATAATGATACCTGTCAACTTTGAGGTTATGACTTATTCTATCATTACAAGTCCAATAAAATACAATGTTAGATAAAAATGTCTGCTTTACGGAGCTCACTTCATGGACCTCTTTGGCATCCCCAGAAATTCTCAGTTTGATGGACAGTATACATACCATTTCTCTCCTGCCTTCATCCTTCTCTTGAAGTTTCAGATGAGCAGATACCTGGAATGCAATACAACGGAATTTGATTTTGAACTGGTCTGAAGCACAACAACCAGTTACAGTGGATGTCTCAGGAGCAATATCCCAACATACCATTTAAACAACTTCTTTCAACCCAGTCAGGAAAGTTTAAGTTGAACTATAATGTTCAAATCACAAGCATCACATATGCCTGTGCACTAGGTAACTGAGTATAAACTGACTTAAGCAATCACTGAAGCATCTGACAAAAAGTGTATTAGAAAGAAAAGCCATTCTGCAAGTCAAAGAGTTTAAGAAGAAGATGGGAGAGTCATGTTTTTTACATAGCCACTAACCTCCCAGGCAATGCTAGAATCAGAGTTTATTTGTGCTTCATCCATACCATAAGGATAACCAAACTCTGCCATTCTCCAGGATGTGAACAAATGAGTACAGAAATAAATAATCTTGTGAAATATGTCATCTGCTGTCCTAAGAGGCAGCTCCACAAAACATGATGATTAACCCTTATTAGAAGCAATTAACCTGTTAAGTAATTATTTTTGTCAGAGCCTTGATTGATTAATTTAGACAGCAATCATCTGGGCCCAATTCTACAAAAGTGGTCCTATGGGATTCTGACTACAATGTTCAAGTAAACAAAAGAGAAGAAAAACTTCCTCACAGAGAAGAGCCTTTGTAGAAAATTAGCCACATAAAAACTACAGTCATTTCTTCTGGCCTTAAAATTTGTGAATTGATGCTGGCACACAGCATGAGCAATCTTAACCTTATTTTGACCCTCTGAGAAAACCAGCTCATTTCTCAAACTGAGCAACAGGCACTTCTAGAGTGATTGGTCAAGCTGGCAATTACTAAACTTCTTGATGCTATGAAAACAGTAAGAAGAATTTACATTGCCTGTAGGTGTTGGGATTATTCTGTTCCTGTTGTTTTCCTGTGAAGAACTGGAAGAGATTTTATACAATGCCTTTATTAAAGAAAAGGCACAAAAGAGTAGAAGTAGCAGAGAGACCATGGTCAAGTCAAAATAGCACTTTGCAGTCCAAACATGGAAGATGGGGAGAAAGGGAGACGAGGCGATTCATCGACCACCCAAGAAAAAAGATGGTCCCTACAAAGGCTCATTCTGTGCAGAATTTCAGGTTCCATTCTTTAGGAGGTCTAAGGAGTAAAGCCTTAGATTTTCTTCCAAATCATAATGCTGGTCACAAATTGAAAACAATAAAGCTAAAGAAGCTCAGACAAACCCTAGAAGGATGAGCCTGAAATGGAATTCAAGGCATCAAAGTCCAAGCACTTTCACTGAGTGGGATCAAACAGAGGTAACGGCATTACCAGGAGTAAGAACACATGCACAATACACAGAGATTTTTCCATTTTCTCCCTCCCAAATAAATTAGATAAAGTCCTGGTTAACAGGGGAGGTCTCTTCTCCCAAGTAGCTAGCGATAGGACAAGAGGAAATGGGCTTAAGCTGCGCCAGGGGAGGTTTAGACTGGAAATTAGGAAAAATTTCTTTACGGAAAGGGTGGTCAGGCATTGGAACAGGCTGCCCAGAGAGGTGGTGGAGTCACCATCCCTGGAGGCGTTTAAAAAACGGGTAGATGTGGCACTTCGGGATATGGTTTAGTCTGGTCTACCCTTGATTAGTCTAGAGTGGGCTTGGTATCGTGGCATTACCAGGAGTAAGAACACATGCACAATACACAGAGATTTTTCCATTTTCTCCCTCCCAAATAAATTAGATAAAGAAACAAAGCTCACCATCATAGCTTCCTGGACAGTCAGATGAGGAAGGAGCATGTCATCTTGCATGATGTAGCAGGAGACTTTGCGAAAAGAGCGCAGGTCACGAGGCTGTCCATTGATGAGAATTTCTCCTTTCATTCCCGTCTCTCTGAAACAAACCAAGAAAATAACCAGGGGTGAATCTTGCCTTCACTTATGCTGACACAGGCCTCAGTATGTGCAATTCTTAGGTAATTATTGCCCACTATGGTATGAAACTGATACAGTGAGTAAAAACTAATTTATTCCATGATTACGCTCTCTTTCATAAGAGGATTCATGCAATGTTGCTGAAAATTTTACTCAAAGTTAGTACAAAATGTGTGCTGTCTTATATGAATCCCTGAAAAAATACGAAGCCATTCAAGTGATTTTTTTTAGGTTTCTGTATCTTGTTCCTTATGCCCTAAGGACAACAACACAGAGACACTTTGTCTTTGGCCATACAACAGGGGATTCAGGAAGATGAACCACAGTCTCTTCACACATTGCAGTTTGGTCAAGAACACATCAACATTATGAAAGTGGCAACTAAAAAAGGGTCGTTTTTTTCAAGTGTTTATAAAACGTGATTTAAAAAATATCACAAACATAAGACAACGAGTCAGATCTGTTACACAGCTATAAAGGAGAAATTTTTTGTGTTTTGGACTTTAAATTCCTTCCTATTTTTGGATCAGACTTGTTAACAGCTAAATCCTAAGTGACCAGAACAGGACAAACAGAAAAAATATAAGCAATAAGAACCTAATTCAAAATCTGTGAAATACCTGTTTTCTACAAACACTGGGGTACATTTCTTCTGAAGCTGTCTCCAAGGAGCCATCAGGCTAGGTGATCTTATCTTACTTGGTATTTTCATTGTTACTGACCTGTATCCTGCCAGAATGTTCATGAGCGTTGACTTCCCAGCTCCTGAAGGACCCATAATTGCAACAAGTTCTCCACTGCTGAACTTCCCTGAAATTCCTTTCAAAAGGGTCTTATAACCTGAAAGAAGAAAGTTCACTGAACCCTTCACAATCACGTATGGGGGACAATGAAATTTCATTTCCACTAAGCAATAATGACAAATAGGCATTAGCAGGCACCTACTGAGAGGCTGATGCTAAGATCAGCACACTGCAATAACTATCAAAAGTCAAATAAATTCTGAGTGGGAGCGGCAGACTCCTCCCACTGCACAAGTAGTATGGTGGGATTACAGGATCACGCACTCTTGATTCATACTAGGAAAATTTTCAAACAGGGCCAAGAAGCCTTGCTACCATTTTCTAAGTGTCTTCTCAGAGTATTTTACTAGGATGCTGATGTCTCCGTCAAAATATCTAACACCCCACAGCTAACATAACTCCACAGCCTTGGAGCAGACTGCTCTCCAATCACTGCAGCTTCAATGCCAAAATTCTGCCCTCTCACCAAAACAACACCTCTTGGAAAGTAATAGCCATGATCTCAAAGCCAAAGCCCTAAGCTTTTGTTCATTCCCTGCTAAAAGAGGTATGACAAGAAACACAGCAAAATGAGACATACAGGAAAAGAAACCTGCTTCATTCTCTTACTATAAGGACTCTCTTATGATAGGAACTCTAAACGCTTGTCTAGACAGGGAGACTGACCACAATAACTCGTAAAAATAATTCCTACAGAAATATCTATTCCAGATTAAGAACATGTAGGGTTTTTTTCTCATTTAGATTAATCCACTTCAGAAGATCATGCCACAATAATAATGTCCTTGGACAAAGCTGTTCTAGAATAACCACACCACCAACCTCAAATATCTCACCTTATTCCTGAGTAAATTACCTTTGTCAATAAACCTTAATTTAAACCCCAAACTCCATGTTAGTCTAGGTGTAAGCAAACTGGACTCCAGTGAGAATTCCAGATTCAGACTTAGTTGCATCTATCTTATCCTGCATGATTCCCATTTTAAGGCATAAGGACTGGGTGGGGAGAGTGGAGAGAGCCCTGATGGGCATTTAAACTTTTCAGAATCTCCTTCCCTTTTATTTTTTTGCTTGCTTACTTTATTTTAATTACCAGTGCTTTTAGTTAAAGCTTTTAATAATAAAAACATGTTAAGTATTGTGTCAAAAAGCAATCTCATATGTTGAAAATGTTTCTGTAATTAAATTAAAACCAAAACAGAAGCGTAGAAGATCCATTTACATGCAGTGCTGGGATTTGGCAATCTATTTTGCCATACTGGTGCATATGCAGGCAGCATTTATATTCCACATGTAAACTGTCCCAGTCCTGTGATTATCATTAGCATAGGTTGTAGCTGGAACATTGAAATGCTGTAAAAAAATCATGTTGTCTGCAAGCTCCTAGAAAATGAATGGTGGATTATCTTCTGATGTCTCTTTCTTCCTAACTCCATAATTTTTTTGTTTTCCTTTCACCCCTGATTAGCATTCTCTTTAATTTTTCTTCTCTTCTCTAGTCTCAATTCACACTCT